ATTAACCAACATTCAGTTCAGACTTCCAGGAGCTCCAACAAAATTTTAAGTTTTAGATGTTTAAAGAAATGCTTATGTAAGATGCAAAAGCCACCCAGGTAATATGCAACTAATTTACATCTTATATCCTTGATCTTTATTTTTACTTGCTAGAATACTGAAGAGGACAAACAATGCTACGCAAATGAAAAATAAACCTATAAAAATGTTTTTTCTAATGTTACATGAGGAAAACAGTTTCAGTGGCCCCCACAGAGAATAAGTTCCATTACTTAAGTGCTTAGTAGCTAAATTTTTATCTACTATTTTTTAAAACTCCACTTTGCAAGTAACAGTCAAGTCAAATGTTTTGGTTTATTAGATTTTCATGCCAGCCTTCCCTACTCCATTTAACAGAGAATGATTGCTGACTGGGCATAGCACTACTTGCCAGGCTAGAAAATGTTGTGCCTACAACAAATTAACTTTTAAAAATCAGATTATATTGTTGAAAGATTATGATTGAATGTTGAGAAGGAGAACATTTATTTTACCACCACAAAGGTTCAGGGGTAATGAAAGCCATCTATTGAATGATTCTAGGCCCTATGCTTTAAACTTAGGATATTTTAAGATGAGCTCAGAGAACAATACCACCCACATTTCAGTTCTGTGGGCATTCTCTGGGAGCTGGAGTGAGACACCGTTCTTCACAACTTGTAAATAATATTGCCCTGTGAGTGTTGAATTCTGCAATCAACCCGCAGTGGGGGTATGCTGATGGGGCCTGGAAAGTAGTCTGAACAGTTACTCATAAATGGGCAAAGGCAGGCAAGATGAACACACTGAAAGATGAGAATCGACTTATGCCAAGTGGCCAAGGGTAGAGGAAAGATCTGTTTCTAATAGTGGAACCTCTTGGCCAGTGGTTTCCACTCTGTCAGAGGTAGGTTCAGAGCAGGTTTTTCTAAATGACTAATTAGGGAGGGAGACGGTGATAGGAACCAACAGGCTGAGCCCTGAGGCACTCCTAAATCTAAGAGGCCTGGAAAAAGAAGGGACCAACAAGAGACGGAGAAGGAGCAATGGAGACAGGAGGTGAGTCAAGAAAGGGTGATACCCTGGAGGCCAAGGAGAGAAAATGCTGCCAGTAGGTCAGACAGCATGCAGACCATGAACTGGGCTAGGGATTTATCTACTGCTTCTACATATTTATACAGTATTTAAATTTGTATATTTGTAAATTTGTATATATTGGCGAGCTATATGATACAATTACTTTTCTTTTTTTTAAAGATTTATTTATTTAGTTAGTTAGTTAGTTAAAGCATCTCAAGCAGACTCCACGCTGAGTGCGGAGCCCGACGTGAGGGCTCAATGTCACGATCATGACTTGAGCTGAAATCAAGAGTCGGATGCTTAGCTGACTGAGCCACCCAGGCGCCCCCTTAACTTTTCTAACAATCATTCTTGAAGAATAATCCATTTCTTTGGCTATAAGCTTTAGTTTTTGTGATGAGCAAAGGTTCATATTCCTCTATGCTTGTGCATTTTGGACTCATATTTCCGTGGAATGAGTGAATGAGATTGTGGCACAAATGTGTTCTTAAACATTACATCTAAACGGATTATGATCGCAAAGCCTTAAGAGTGTTGCAAATTATTAAGATAAGCTTTAGTGTAGTTTTAGTTTTGTTCATTTTTATGCACAGGGATAGTCACACTTTTAAGTAACCCAGAAATTGTTGCCTTCTTCTCAAATGTGTAATTTCCTCCATGGAAACATGGAAGAAAGAAGGGTAAGCATGGAAATGAAAATGAAATTCTTACTTCTCTGAGTATTTCCCTAATTTGACTTTCAGAAGGAAATGCTCAAAAACAACTTTGAAATGATTCAATTCTCACTCATCCACACAGCGTTTTCAAGACATATTTTCAATATTGCTCCAAAATGTATTTTTTAAGCACACATCTTAAAAAGTCAAATTTTATGTCATAATTACAAATAATTATTTCATTTTGTTTTGTGTTTTGCAGGCAACCCAAACAGGAAAATCAAAGCCCCCAATTCAAACGCAGCATCAAATTCAACAATTGAAACATCTGATGAAGCTGATGATATAATTCAAGATCCAAAAATGGATACAACACAAATCAAAACTGTATATTATTAAAAAACCTGTGTTGCAAAAGCTCACTGGAGAGATGGAGCAATACAAATAAAGAATGCATTTCAAATAGAGTTTGTAATTGTACTTTTCAAAAATTCACCATTCACAAAGCAAGACACAGCTGCATTTTTGATCATTCAATTAGTTTATTAAAAACCCACTAAGGTTTCTGATCATATGCAGAAGTTTACTTTTATTTGCTAATTAAGATGTTTCTGTATTACATGAAATTATGCTAATACGTCAGGAGAAATTAAAGAACTTATCAATAACACAGACAAGCGAACCTACGCCAGTGCGGAACAATTAGAGATTTGTCACATTACCAACATTACACAATTCTTTTGATACTTAGAGGCAGTTCTTTTTACAAGATGGCACTGGATAGGTAAATCTCAGGGGGGATGGTCTTATAAAACAGAGGTGGCAAGTTAAGTCTCTTAGAGATCAACCCCTACCTTTTTTTCAGGGCTTGCTGGGTACAAAATGAATGTACTGTCTTTATAAAACCTAACATTCAATAACAAAATAGGTCACAATGCATAATCTGCATAATAAATATTTTCTGCATACCAAGGGATAACCATAACAAAAATCCTTCACTGATAAAGTTCCTACAGAACTTCTAAAATTAAAGTTATAAAAAAATAAGTTCTCTAGTCCCACCTAAGGCTATTATTGCATTAATACCACTTAAGACACCTAGAAATAAAACTACGGTTTCTGCACATTATAATTGTCTTAAAAGATTTTTATTCCTAAGTATGATTTCTATTACAAGAACACAGACCTTGTTTTCTAATGGAATTCACTAGGAAAAAAGGATTAATTTTAAAAGCTGGCTCTTCCCAAAACATCCACCGTGTTGTATAAAATTACTGTAGTTGAAAGACTAGCCTTTCAAAATGTATCAAATACGGCTTCTCTGGTCTGAGAGAAAAAAAAAAAAGGAACGCCTTACTGCTCTCGGCATGCAAATCTCAGGTTTAGAAACTTTTGGCCATTAGGCTGTCAAAATTTTTACCAAGAACTGGGGATGTCTTCTGGACCAGCACTGCGCAGAAGTTTCTGTGACGGTGGAAATGTTCTTTCCCTATCTGCACTGTCCATGGTAGCCACTAGCCCCATGTGGCAACTGGGCACTTAAAATGTGGCTCGTGTAAGTGAAGAAAACATTTATATTTTATTTATTTAATTAATCTAAATTTAAATAGCGACATGTGGCTATATTGAGAGCATAGCTCCAAGATCATTACTGCAACATCTACTGGCCATGATGGATTTCACACTGGCTGTCTTGATACACAGATATTCAAAATTACACTATTAATCAGATGTTGCCTCAGGTAAAAACCTAGGATGAGCAAGTTAAGGCACTGGTACAATTCTACCTTTGCTGTTCAAGGGCAAGTGCTGATGCCATAAATGACACAGGAAGCAGGCAAACTGGTCAAGGTCAACGAAATGCTCACGGTTCCCCAAACTCCTCCTAACCTGTGAGAGATACGGAGGCTGGGCATGGCTGGATGTGTCACAGAGTGCAGCTCCTGGGCTTCGCAAGTGGGATTACCATCAAGCTAGCTTAAGACATATACTCTCCTTGGAGGCTAACTGCCCAGGAAGGTGGAGTCCCAGCACTGGTACTAGCTATAGTCCCTGCCAAACCAGGTTACCTGAGGGAGAGCCACTGAGCTCAACCAGTGGACCAACTGGTATGTGTCTCTGTAACTTCTGTAACTGTGAAGCAGTTGTGCTTCACAGACTGAGACAAAATATTAAGAAAGCGAGAAGCCTCATCAAATTACAACGAAGTCTATACAATGAAAACTATTTTAAATGATTTTTTGGGGGTGTAACAAATACTAACCTAGCGACAGAATTTAAGCCAGTCAAAAATAATCTTAAAAAAATTTTTTTTAAATAATCCTAAAAATTTAAAACAAAGTACATTTCCAAGTATGCACATAGGCAGGTCATTCTGGGGATGGGTGTGATAAGGAATATAGTAGCTTTATGTGTTTTTAGAAGACAAGTCAATGGAATTCTTGGTAATCATCAAATCTTAGAGAGAAGAGTGGGTCTAGAAGAAGAGGCCGTAACAGGAACATACACGTAACAGGACACAGAAGATTCAAGTTATTTTCCATGTGGCCTTCTCATGAGAGCAATTTCATCTTTTAAAAACTGTTTAATTGGATTTTGAAATGGATGAAACCAAACCTCACTAAAAGCCATTTCTTTCCTTAAAACTCTCTCATGGTGTCTCATGAGATTCAAGTCCAAGCTTCCAAACATGGGACTTAAGACTGCTTTCTCGTGTTCCTGTGAACCTTCGGTAGTAGTCTCAATTCTTCCCACTTCCTGCCTCACCTATTGCTTGCAATCCTTGACACGCACACAACTCAGTTTTTTCTGTTGTGGTCTCTGTTCATAGTACGCACTCGTAACTGCCAGGACTTCCACCTTCATCCTCCATCAAAATCTAAATCAAACAATACTTTCTTTAGGTTGCCTCTTCTAACTTCTCCAGGCAAGCTAAGTAGCCTTCTGTGTTGCTATAAACACATGCTCAGGTCAATTACTGCACTTACCACGCAGTGATGTGTTCTGCTGTTTCTCCTAACAACTAAACTAAGAACCTCTTTAGGGAAGCAAAGGAGTCTTATGATTCTCTGTATCCCCAGTACTTAGCAGTGTTTGCCATGCCAGGTGCTCAATCAATGTTTGTTGAAGAAAGGAACTGACGGCATTTTTATCAACATTATAATAACTCCACAACCTAGTTTAATTGCAGGTGACCTAGAGTTATATAATTTTAGACAGAGTGAATTGTAAATACAGACACATAAATTGTTTTACTCCTTATTTATTGATGTTTTGGCCTCCGAGAACCAAAGATGTAAACAGATACGTATGAAGGGTGAACAACTGGGGATACCTCGGATAGATTTTAGCCAACAGATGATAATTGAGAAAAGAAAGAGGGAATTGTGTGGGGAGTAGATCCATTAGCTAAAAGCAACAGCCTCAGAGTATTCAGATAATCAGGTTACAGATACAAAGCTAAACATAAATTCCATATGCATCTAGTGAAAATGACACACATTGGTTGGTAAGAATGTAAACCAAATATCAATTAACTGCTTAAAGAAGTTGAATGTGTTTAATTAACAGTTATTTTAGTAAATTCAACCTTTACCATTACAGAATGCTACCTTCTTACCTATAATAATTTCTAAAATGAATATTACTTGAATTGTACTAAAATATTGATAAGCATATACATTAAGGAGGGGAAAAGGTCTCAGAGATAAATGGGTATAATATGTTATAGATGAAAGACACCAAGGCCCAGAGAAGCTAAATGATTTAGTTGAAAGTCAGACAGGTGGTTAGAAAGGCCAGGACTTTTTGGATTTTTCTGTTAGATTCAGTTTTCCTTCTGCTACATACTGCCTCAGGGAAAATTTCACTAATCTTCTAAAATTTATGAGTGAGATCTGTATCCAATCCCAACAACAAAATTACTTTAGAAGAAAATTAGTGAAAAGAAATGAATTTTATTCAGATGAGAGATTTCATAAACTATTCTCATACTATGGGGAATTTACTTAAGAATAATTCCAAGAATATTATCTAGTGGAAAAAATTACTGAGCATTAAATTTTTTTAATTTGCACCCTGTATTAGTTAATGAGTGCTGAATTTTACATAACCCTTCTAGACCATTATTAATTGTGTCCCCATTCAGAAAACAAATCTAATGAGCCTATTTATAATCTCTACAATAAACAGAAATAAAAGTCACCAATACCTGAATTAACTTTGTTTCACTATAATTATTAGCATATTAAACCATGTTATACACTTAATAGGATGAGGTCATCCTTGTGCATGTAACATTTTTCAATCATTTTTAAAATTTTTCTTTATTTTTTCATCATAATAACCAAAGAACTGTATTTTCATAAAATGCAGTTTAAAAAATATGTAAAATACAGCAAAGGCCAAACAATCCCTTAAAAACCTAATAACTCTGTTTCTCTTCCACAACTGATAGAACTACTTAAAAAAAAAAAGGGTTTCTTTTTGAGGAGGCCATCTGACTAAATTAGATTATGGAAAAGCTAGAAGTGTGAAAACTTCCTCAGCTATAACGCTAGAGTAGGGATGTGGACATAGCTTCCCTAGAATGGGAATAAGGTAAGCACAGGTATGAGGAGTTAGGAAGCTGCCCTCCACGCCCCCTTCTGACTGAGGTCATGCCAGCGAGGGGAGCTGGATGAACAAAGAATCAGTACACCTTTCCAGCTTGTGAGGTTACGTGTACTTACCTGATTTCACCAAAATGATTTCACCTGTAGCCAAGTCTGTAGGTCAGTGACTTGAAAATTTCTAACTGCACCACAGTGAGGTACATGCAGTCTTTGGTGCCAAGCCATGATAACTGAGTGATGTCTGATGCTGCTATAATAGTAAGTGTTTAACTCAGTGGGTGTCAGGCCTATCTAAAAACTAAGCAAAGTAAGTTTCACTGATTCACTGATCATTGTGAAATTAAAAATGTAAGAAACACTTCTATCTACTAATATATGTTTGAAAATGCTTACCAATATAAAATTTCCATTGTTATATAAAGGCTTTCATGATGCAACTCCCTGGCTCTTATATTTTAAAAAGTACAGAATAAAATTCTTAATCCTAAATTTTTGTGACTGCTCTTAAGGTCTATGACTGAAGTAAAAGAGAGAAACACCCCAAACTGGTCATTTTTGAAACCATAAATTCAGTGTGAAACCTGCTTCAAAACTACAAATTATTTTAGACAAATAAATATATATGTTCACATTTATAAAAATTTTCCACATTACTCATAGAAACAAGCTTCATAAAATTTACATACAGAATACAATAAAAATCAGCTCTAACGATGATTTAGCTGTCATTCTCCTAATTAAAAAGTTCTGTGTTTGAGGTATCACTTGAAGAGATGCCAATATGGCACATTTGTAAAACAACCCAGGAGTCTATCCTAAAAATTCTACCCAACACAGCATCATCTCTATGAGGTTGAGCTACTCTTGTCTTTTTAAACAAGGAAGAAAATTGTAATTGTTACAATAACAGGGGAGGCAGGTACTAGACACTCTGTGTTTCATGTAACAGTAAAAATTCCTTATAAGTATTTTCATTATCATCTTCCTGCCAACACCATTCATTTCATATGTCCTAGTTAAAACCAATAAAGCAGCTTCATCTCCTATGACTTCCAAAAAAGGTTTGAGATTTAAAAACAACAGTGAAAAATTTCACTACCTTTATATATTATCATAGGATATAAAGCTATTAATTTTTCAGAGTCAAGAGCAAAGCATTATCCCCTACCTCACTTTATCACTGGAAGGTGGACCCTTGATTCAGCAAACACTCATTAAGTGCTAGGTAGAATACCTGTGTTGACTGTAGTAAAGCCATTTACAATCAACTTATGAAGTAATAACACTAGTCAGACAAAGAGTCATGAATACCAAAAATAATGTGTTTTGTATGTACAAATAACTATACTTGGGGCATGGCTACCAAGTAATAAGACTGATACAATACTTTATAGAGTCAGCACATTAAAAATGTATTGCCAGATGACAATGGTCCCATATATGAAAAAAAAGTCTATATGGAAAAGGCCGTGATTTATTGCAAAGCATAATTATATAGCAAATTCCAAGGAAGGTCAGATAACTTTCAAAACCAAATTTTAAAATTTAATGGCTTAGGCTGAAGATTCAGTTACTTTTTGGAGATCTCAGAAGAATTAGGGGTGGAAGAATGCTTTTCCTTTTTTCTCTTCTTTTTTTCCTTTTTGTGATGTTTCCCCCTTTTTGACTTATTCTTTTTTTCTTTTTTCTTTTCTTTCTTCTGATATTTTTGTTTCTTTTGTTTTGAAGTGTCCTCTTCAGTGGAACTGGATGAGTAAGACCTATGGGCAATACATACATACTGACTGATAACTGCATTTATGGCTGATAGGTAAATTTTAAATGAGATTTTAATTGCCTTAAATCATTTTTGGAGCAAGGTGGGACATAAACAAAGAAACTCAAAATGTGCTTTACATATTTGTATTCTCTTAAAATACTGACTTGGGAATTTTTGCTCCTTGGCCACAGAAACTGACAAGTAACTCTATTCTGCTCAACTCTAGTAATAAGTTTTAAACTCAGTAAGGATATAATGATTTTTCTTTGATTTTCAGTTTTTCATCCTGTCATACCCTTCAAAATATTCTAAGGTGAGCAAAGTGTCATTTACCAAGCCTTTATTATATATACAATTCATTCGCATATGCAGTAAGTTGTTAGCAAAGTCTCTTAAAAGAGTTACAAAAAGATGCAATTGTACCTCGGTATCAATGGGTGAAAGCTGAAAATTAGCAAAATGAAAGCACTTTTGTTAATTCTTTTGATTTTTCAAGTCAGAATACTTCAATCTTCTAGATGCAGAGTGATACAGATGAGCACTTGCATTCCAAAGTAATTTTCACTAGTTACAAAAAAGATGCATTTGAATGAATATAAATAAATGAAGATGTTATAGCATTATTCTTTATTTTTCTAATATTACTCTAATAAAAAATTAGGGGGGAACTATATAATTCCTTCCTCTACTATGAAAAAAAAAAAGAAAAGTAACAAAAAACAGAGAAGCCATCTCTTAAGATCTTATATAAACAGGTATACAATAATCTGCCCATACCCAAACTCTAAATGTGCGACAAGACAGAAACTGAGTCAAGGTAAAATCCTCAAGAGATAGTTGAGTGATCTAACCATTAGAAGTTAAAGCCCAAACCAAGAAAACCTGAAAGAGACATACAGGAGGGAAAACATAAATGCATGAGACTCTAAGGCCGGGTCTGTAGAGTGACTCAGGAGTCCTGTGTGGGAGCCCCAAGCTTTCCCCTGTTTCTGTGATGCTCTATTCCCTCCTCCATCTTGTCTACCTTACTTGGATTCTTGGCTGTTTCCTGGGCTTATTTTCTCATGGATTCTCTAGTTCCCTCTTCAACTCCATTATTGTCAACTCTTGTCTGTTTTCCTGTTTTAAAGACCCTGCTTGACCTGTGGATTCTGACTAGAGCTTCTTTGCCTGTACATTTTTCTTTGGCTTTTTGGTCCTGGATTCTCATTTTTAAGATACAGTGTTAGACTTGCACACAACAATTCTATTAGGTGGCAAAATCTCTGCTAAGTATGCCTAGAAAAGTTCATTTAATTTCGGGCCCTGCCTGAGATCTGTGAGACCCCAGTCTTGAATAAATAATCTGTTATGATAAAATAAGTATATTAGAATTTGGAAAATAGATAATTTCATTTTTCCTATAAGCAATCCATCTTGCTGTGCTATGCAAATGACTGAACAATACACGAGTCAGACTACAAAATACACTGAGCTCTACCTTCCTATTAGTTTTTATGTTAAAGATTATTTAACTCCCAACATTTGAGAGAAAACAAACTTTTCCAATTTATAAAGTAGCTGAGGTGTTAAAATGTACATATTAAATGCTCTATGAAGTAATGCATGACATGCAGAACCTACTCTGTTAGAGAACTAGGGTCCAAGCCAGACATTACTACTGTCAAGGGCCTTAAAAAATGTGTCTGTATGTTTATTCTAGTGTAAGTGAAACTGTACTGATTTACCATAAAAGAAACTGCTTCTTAATTCTTTTGATCAATTTCTTTAACCAGTCAGTTGTTAAAAGAGTTGATACTAAAAACTCATAGGTGGCTGATGAGGGTTGTGAAAGACCTGAAGGAATTTTCAGCATCATAAGTGAGTATATAAATCATATTAGTAACTTTATTTTGTAGCCATGGCAATGATATTTTGAGAATACAAATATTTAAGCTCCAAATTCATATATATGAAGACAAAATATATATGTAAAGAATTTAGAAATCATCCAATTAAAAGCCTGGCTGACGTTTTAAACTCAAAATTCTAGATAGAACACATAAAAGAAGGGAGGGTGGCTATTATTTATTTATACCTTAATTTGCTCCAAAAAAAAAAAAGATGGCTGAGTATCAACTTTATTTTTGATTCATGACTTCATTTTACTGAAACAACTGAGTATCTAATTCCCATTAAGAAAAAAATTAGTGTCATATTAATTGGACAACACACAAAAAATAAAATTTTATAATCCATCCTGGATTCATAGTCCCACTTTTAAAAAACAATGATGTTAAAAAATACCTTTTCCTTTTTTTTTTCAACTTGATTTTCTCTTTGCTTTTTGCTTTTTTCTTTTCCTCTTCTTCATTTACTCCTGTGTGTAGAGGGAAAAGAATCAGGATACCATGAATCTACATACTGATATGGTATATATACATTTTTTTTATTTCAGTTGTTGGTGATGAATTTCATTGGTTAGGATATTGCGCTTTTCTTGTAACAATTTCTCCTTTCTTGATGGTTTTTTTAAATTGAGGTATCATTGACATATAACATTATATTACTTTCAGGCGTACAACATAATGGTTTGATATTTGTATACATTGCAAAATAATCACTTTAAGTATAGTTAACATCTATCACCATGTTACATAGTTACCCAAAATTTTTTTTCTTGTGATGAGAACTCTTAAGATCTACTCTCCTAGCAATTTTCAAATATACAATACGGTACAATTAATTATAGTCAACATACTGTACATTACATCCCCATGACTTAATTTATTTTATAACTGGAAGTTTATACCTTTTGACCACCCTTATCACCTGCCTCTAACAACCACAAATCTCTGTATCTATGAGCTTGGCTTTTTTGTTTATTTTTTAGGTCTCACATATAAGTCAAATCAGACAGTGTTTGTCTTTCTCTGACTTATTTCACTTAGCTTAATACCCTTACGGTCCATTGATTATTTTTATTTATTAAGAAGCTTATAAAAATATTATATGCTCTTTATAAAAATTTCAATCACTGCTAGGTACATTATGTAAAAAATTCATGTACTCCACGATTAATTCCTATAGTGAATCAATATCAACAATTTGGTGGGTAGCATTTCAGGTCTTAAAAAACAAAACAATACAATCAGATACAGTTTTTCTTTCCTTCTTTCTCTCCCTCTCTCTCTTTCTTTCTAAGTAGATGCCATGCCCAACATAGGCATGAACTCACAACCCTGAGATCAAGAGGGTTGATCTCGTGTGCTCTACTGACTCAGCCAGCCAGGTGCCCTTTGAATACAGCTTTTTAAAATTTTCTTTCTCAGACAAACTTAGTTAGCATCATGGGATTCTAGGTTCATGATGTCAGGATCCCAGGACAATAACAATAGATCTGATATTTATGTCAATGGTGTCCCTGAAGGAAAGGATATATACTATTCTCTAACTTGTTTCTAAAATATGCAATTTGGTGTGTTTTCTTCTAAGCTTGCTCTCTAATAACCAAATATACACATACAAGTACTTACGTAAAATGGTTATGTATAAGTCCCAAGTTTTTCCTCTCTTTTGAAAGATGGATATATGATATTTTATATGGTATACAAATACAGTGGCATATATAATATTTTGCAACTTATTTCACCTTTGTCAAAAATCAGTTGGACAGGAAAAAAAAAATCAATTAGACTTCTGCTTCTGGGACGATGAAGTAAGTGTACTTTTCCTATTCCTCCCGGTAAGTTCAACTAAAAATACCAGACATTATAAAAACAAACATAAAAAACTGAAAAGTAGAAATAAGACAAGCTAAGGATCTTGAAACCCAGAGAATGACACAGTAGTGAGTTCCTTGGAATTCTTGCTTCCTATAGCCCAGACCTGGAGCTGAAGAAGCAGGCAACCTGGCAATGTCAACAGGTACAGACAAAAATCCCCCAACAAAAGCCTGATTTCTTTAGCCAAAGGACCAAAACAGGGACAGCCTAGGGACAGGTAGCTGGCAGATAATAACTGCCCTTACTGAAGTCAACCACCACAGAAAAACTGGCACCACCCCCGCCCATGTCAGCAGAGGGTAGGTGGGGAACCTAGACATTCCACCCTTGTAAAGCTGTGATAAGGCACCTCAATTCCCCAGCCTGAGAAGTCTAAGCAGGCGTCCAGGACTTTCATCTCTATTGGCCAGTAAAGAGATCTCCACTAATAGTGTCAGTGGAGACCATTTAGGAAGCCTTGACTTCTGCTGCCACCCAGTATTAACGAGGAACCCCTCCCATCTACAGTGAAGTGTTGTCAGAGGAGATCTAATGAAAGTCAGGGCCTTCATTATCACTCAGTAGTAACAAGACCACTCCCACCATGGGTTACCAGAATAGGGAGCTGGAACTCCCTACCATCATCCAGCAGTAACAAGAAGTCACCACCACTTTGAGTGTTTGTGGAACCTGAGTGGGGAAACAGAACTTCTGTCTCCACCTGGCAGTCACAAGGTAGCATCCCCACTTTTCCTTCTGCGGTGGGTACTAGAGAAAATGAGGTAAAGGAGAAGGTTTAAGAAAAGTCAGAGATTCATAATATAACATAAGTTTCAGTTGAAAAGAACTCAGCAAGTCAAGAACCAGGAAGATCTCAAACTGAATGAAAAATTGAAACAATGAATATGACAACACCATAATGAGAGATTATTAAAATAATCTGAAAAAGATTTTAAAGCAGCTGTTATAAAAATGTTTCTATGAAGAATAACGAGATGCTGAAAACAAATGAAAAAATATGAAAGCCCCAAAGAAACTGAAAATCCAAAGAAGAACAAAATAGAAATTTTAGAACTAAAAATACAATAAATGGAATTAAAATACTCAGTGGATGGGCTCAATAGCAGAATGTCAAGCACTGAAGAAAAATATCACTGAATGGGAGAACAGAACAACAGAAATCACCCAATCTGAGCAATGCAAAGGAAACAGATTTAAAGAGAAGAGACTCGGGAATCTAGGGGACAGTAACAAAAGATACAATACTTATGTCACTTCAAGTCCTGGAAGGAGAGTATAAAGAAGGAGGGGCTTTAAAAGTACTTAAAAAAATAATAGCTGAAAACTTCCCAAATTTGGCAAGGGACATAAAGACTCAAGATGCTGAGTGGAATCCCAAACAGTTTGATAAACCCAAAGAAATCCATATCAAGACATATGACAATTTAACCTGTGAAAACTAATGAAAAAAGATCTTGAAAGTAGCCAGAGAAAAATAATACATTACTTATGTGAGTGAAACAATTAGAATGGAAGCAGATTTCTTATTAGAAAGCATGGAAGCCAGAAGTAAGGGGCGCAGCATTTTTTAAGTGCTGAAAGAAATGTCAACCTGGAATCCTCTACCCAGTAAAAATATCCTTCAGGAATGAAGGAGAAATCAAGACATACTCAGACAAAGAAAAAGTAAAAGAATGTGTTACCAGCAGATAGACCCTAAAAGAATGGCTAAAGGAAGTTCTCTAAATGGAAAGGAAATGATAAAAGAAGGAACGCTGGAACATTGAGAAGAAAGAACATAGTAAGCAAAAACATGAGTACAATAAGCTTCCCTTTTCTTGAGTTCCTAAATTACGTTTGATGGTGGAAGCAAAAACTGTACCACTGTCTCATATGGTTCTAAGTGTATGTAGAGAACATATTGAAGACAATGGTATTATAAAGGGGAGAAGTTAAAGGGAAATAAAGGGAGGCATGGTTTCTACTCTTCACTTGAATTGGTAAGATGACAACACCAGTAGACTGTGACTAATTATGTATATATAAAACCTAGAGCACCCACCAAAAATTGTTATACAAACACCATAGAAAAATTTAAAAACACTATGGACATAGTCAAAGACACTTACAGATAAATCAAAATGCACTTCTAAAGTGTTCACGGGACACTACGGCTAAGTCAAAGCACTGGAGGTAATCCTAAAAGATATTCAAGCAACCACAAGAAGGCAGGAAAAAAGAAACAAGAATGAAAAACAGAGAGAGTCAACAGAAAACAAATAATAAAATGGCAGGATTAGCCCTAACATTTAAATAATTAATGTAAAAAAAGATACCAATTAAAAGAAATTGGCAGAATGGATTGAAAAATATGATCCATCCATCCACAGTCTACAAGACTCCCACATCAGGCTCCCTGCTCAGCGGGGAGTCTGCTTCTCCCTCTGACCCTCCCCCGTCTCATGCTCTCTCTCTCTCTCTCTCATTCTCTCTCTCAAATAAATAAAATCTTTATAAAAAAAAAAAGACTCCCACCTCAATTAAAATGACATAGACACACTGAAAATAAAAGGATAGAAATGATACATCAAACAAACATTATCAAAGAAAAGCTAGAGTAGCAGGTAAAACAGACATCAGAACAAAGAAAATTACCAGTGTGAGAAAGAGGCATAATATAATAAAAGTTTCAACTCACCAACAAGACATATCCTAAATGTGTATGCACCAAACAACTAAAAATATATGAACCAAAAACTGATAGACCTGAAAGGAGAAGCAGACAAATCTACAATGGTAGAGACTTCAACATCTCACTCTTAACAATTAATAGATACCATACACAAAGTCAGCAAGAATAGAGAAGAGCTCAACAATACCATCAATCAACAGAATCTAAACAATATTTAAAAAACACTCAGCCCAAGATAGAATATACCTTGGGTCATAAAGCGAATCTTAACAAACTTAAAAGAACTGAACATATACGAAGTTATGCCTCTGTCCATAATGGATTCAAATAAGAGATCAGTAAAAGAAAGAAAACAACACTTAAAAGTAATCCATGAGGCAAAGAAGTCTCAAGGAAAACAAAACACACTGAACTGAATGAAAGTGAAATACATAAAAATTTGTGGAACACAGTAAAGCAGTGCTGACAGGAAAATTTATAGCACTAAATGCTTACAAGAGAAATGAAGAGAAGTCTCAAATTAATAATACCTAAGCTTGAATCTTAAGGGGACAAAGCTAAATAAACGCAAAGCAAGTAGAAGGAAGAAAACAATAAAAGAAAATAATAAAGCACAAGAATTAATGAAATTGAAAACAAAAAAAATAGAGAAAAAGAATAAAACAAGGAGCTAGATCAATAAACCTGACAAATCTCTAGCAAAATGTGAAAGAAAAAAAGACACAAATTAATAGTGTCAGGAATGAAAAAAAAGGTATATCAGCGTGGACCTTGTATACATCAAAAGGATAAGTGAAATAAATCTGACAACTTAGACAACATGGACCCCTTTCTCAAAAAACAAACTGCCACAACTCATCTCACATGAAATAGATTATTTCAATAACCCTTTAACTATTGAGGAAATCGAATTTGTAATTTTAA